TCCCTGGCCCCGGCTGTTGGATGCCTGAGCTGGTGCTGGAGGCGTGCGCGCCCGAGGGTGCGCTCTGGAGTGTGGGGGGCGTGGGCAAGCGCGCTCCCCGCTCCCCTGCTGAGAACCCAAGACCCAGCCCGACTCCAGGCTCCTGTGTGTCGGCGCCACAGCCTGGCCAGGGCTGCGCAGGGGGTGGAGCGGCTGTTGAAGGGGGCCCGCCTGCCGGGTAGTCTCTGCGATGGCATGTGATGGCTACGTGGTTGCAAGACGACCGCTCCCCACTCCCTGGTGAGGACCTGGCAGCGGATGTGTGCACCCCAGGCCCAGCATGAGTCTGAATGCAAAAGCGAGCCCGGCACTGACCTTCTCTGGGCAGGCTTTGAAAAGAAAAGCCCCAGGCCCAAAGCTCAAGCAACCCAAGGCAACTGGAAGGAGATCCTGATTGAAATTCAGAATTAGCTGGTTAACTGACCCCTTACTTGGCAACGATCATTCCAGTTGTTAAAGAAACACATCAAAGGTCTTTATTAATCTTTGGACATGTAGGCTTCAGGATTGCAGGAAAAAGGACATGCTTTCAATTTGCTTTTAGAAACGGTTTCAAAGCTCAGAGCAGGAGGAGAGATCCGGGTGGCTTTCCCAAGGTTTCCAGAGAAGTGAATGTGTAGGGAGGTGCTGGCCCCTGCCCCTCAGTTCAGTGCCCCGCAGAAGGTCTGAACTTTGCCTCACCTCTAGCCGGCTGTCTTCCCTCGGACAGACAGAATTCGGGGGCTCCGTGAGCTTGGTGGGGAAGTTACACCTTTATTTTCACTAACGCTAAATGAAAGATAGCATTTTCTGATATAAATACAGCAGTTAGCCAATGTGGTATGAGTGGAACCCGTGACTTGTTGCCGCTGACACCATCCTGGAGTAGGGACGGATGTCATACACACAGGGTGCCAGTCTGTTGCAGACTTGTCAGTGACATTTCTGCCCCTCACTGCTTCGAAATGAAATTGTTAGTCCAAGTGCTGGTTTATGAATTCGTAAGAAGGGAATATAGAAGGGGGGGGGCTCAAAAGTTCAGACAATGTGTGTTAGGGAAAAACTGCATGGATTTCAATGTTTTGCACCAAAACACACTCATACTTTAATTCTACTCTCTGCCAAACCTTTTGAAATCACCTCATATTCCCATGTCACTATGTGGCAAAGTTAGGTTTAATGTCACTGTCCTTTGCAGCCTTGTCAATTTACTATATTTAAACACATCCTTTTGAGCAGGATTTCACAGGCATCACCAGACTGAGAAAGGGATCCCAGGCCCATCCGAAAAGTTTAAGCACCTCTGTGAGGTAAGGAAAGGACTTCTTGAAACTTGTGTTCTTCCAGAAAGTTCTATCCTGCATTGCAAAGGCCTATTTGCAAACGTGTGGACACGCTGTTCCCTGACTTGGTAACTTTGGGCTCTGTGAGCCAAAACAGTTACTTTTCTTGGAGGACTCACAATGCAATAATTGAAAAATTGCTGGAAAAAGCTTCTGTGGGTGTGTAAAACACACCCCATTTGTAATTTTTTCAAAACCTTGCAGTGTCAGATTTGAGGCCATCCTATGGAGAGCCTCTGAACCTCTGGCCTGTAAGTTTTGGAAGACGGGAAAGAAACCTGTGATTTATTTTGCAAACTAGTACACGTGGTGTTTGCCTGCCGGTGAGCATGGCTCCCATGTGTCCTGGGAACTGGTTTTCGACGTTTGCCTGGAGGTGAGCTGGTCAAGCTCCCGCCTCAGACTTGATAGATCTTTCCTTATAAAATGATCGGGACCATCTTTACCGGTCCCTTCTCCCACCCTGCCCCCCACCCTCTCGTCCCTTCTCCATGTGCCCCTCACTTCCCCTCTGCCCCCCTCTCCCCTTCTCCCCCAGAATGCCTCTGACCTGCACCGGCTGGGGGTAACCTCTGCCCATGAGTAGTTTTGTCTCTGTTGGGGCCATACACAATCGAAGCCTGTGAAAAGGAGGGTGAGTCTGCAGGAGGCCGGCAGAAGCTGGGCTATTCGGGATCCGTGTCCATTAAAGCCTTCTCGCTCTCCTTAACTCATTCCCGCCCCATTCAAGCCAACCCGAGGGTCAGGCTTTAGCCGGCACTAAAACCTGTAGGGTACAGATTCTCTGACATTGTTGGGGAAGAATTAAGGCAACAGCCAGGGACGGCTAATATTTCTTGCCTCGTTTTATTGCTGAACAGCAGGACTGTAAAGTCTTGAACACTGGGGCACTGTGGCCCCCTTTCATGTAGCCGAGATGATGGGATAAAAATGTGTTTGGTGAAGCAATTCAGATTACCACTGGGTCACATCCTCGCTGGCTCCCAGCACGGCCCTCGAAACAGCATCGCTAAAACCAGAAACAATCTCTGTGCAATGTCAGCTCATGCAGAACGGGTGTTGCTAGTGCGGAAACCAGGCTAATTGTGCAGCCTGCCAGCCACAGGGCCTTGCTTTTAACAGCTCAGGCCGCATGCTCGGAATGAGAGGTGAGATGGCCGACGTGGACACCAGTCCTCAGAGCTACGATTCCGGACAGCTTCCTACCACATTGTCCGGGGCCTGGGAGTGTCGCACTCTGTTATTACCAGGTGTGCTGTGGCCTTGGGCTCGATGACTGGGGTGGGGCGTGTTCTCTCCGGAGAGGAGAGAGATCGCTTGGGGCCCTAAGTATTCCAGGCCTCTCTGCCACACTCTGGGGTAGCAGGGGTTCGTTCAGTTCAGGAAATCGTGAGACTGGAGTGAAGACGTTCAGTAGTTGTGCAGGGGTAAAGAGAAGGCTGGATCGTTTCGAACCATTTGGTTTCATTGAGAACCTCTCCCCAGACACACGCCAGCTGAAATGTTCCCAAGCAATTGTCTCATGAGATTGGCCAGAGAATTTGTGGCGGAACAAGTTAAGGCTCTGACGGCTCTGCAACCCTGGGCAGGCTCCTTGCTTCTCTCGAGTCTGGTAGCCTGTCAATCAACGAGAAGACTGACCTTCAGGATGTATCAGTGCCAGGCTCAGCTCCGGGTCTGCGGACTCGTGTCACCCTGCTCGTGGATGTGAGAGGCTTGACGTGACTTTATGATGTCGACTGGGACTGAGTTCCTGTCCTAGCTGTGCCACCTTAAACAAGTTACTTGCCTCCTCTGAGCCCCAATTCTAAAGCGGGGACAAGCGCAGGACATCGTGAGGATTCCTGGCAAGGTTTCAAGGTGACAGGGCTCTAACTGGCACCATCGTTGATAAATTGTGCGTCCCGAAGAGGTTGTAGTGTGTTTAAATCTGTCCCCTGGAGGTCCAATGGGAGGCTCCTGCCTGGTCGTTCCTCGTCTGCGAAGGAAGGCCATCTTCAGCTCGCAGAGCCAAGACCACGGAGAACGCGTTTCCTCGTTTTGGAAGTCATAGGCCTCCACCGAGCGGCTGCTATGTCAGTGTGTCCGGGTCCCTGTCCAAAGGTGGGGAGGGTGGCCTGCACCTCTTCATCTGGATTCCACAGCTCTTGGCTCTGAGGGCAAAAGAGCCGGGAGGGATTGCGTCCCTGTCCCGGCTGGGGCGTGAGCTGTGGGGTGCTAGAGACAAGCCGAGGGGCCTCCTGGGCTGCGGGGCCCAGCGTAATAACTCTGCGAAGCAACGAGCGCAAAGGACTCATAATCAATGGCAGATTGTATTTTTGCTCTGGCAAAATCCATCGGCAGAGCTAACATTTTATGGGGAAGTAACTACCCACTCAGCCTCCTCCTCGCCGTCTTCTCTTTCCCCAAGTTGGGCAAAGCCCAGGGATGCAGCGGCCGCTGCACTGAGAGCTGTGGCGGCAACAGCGCGACTGCCCTGGGCGGGAACCCGGCTCTCCGTTACTTCCTAGGGTGGCGGGCCATTCATTCCTGTTTGGCTGAAATACCCGTGACATGTGAGTAAACCAGGGTTACAGGACATTGTCTCGGCAGTCATCTGAGCCAGCATGGGCCCTGGCCGGATGAAATATGGTGCTCTCTGAGCAAACATGGGAATTGGTGTTACTCCTCGTTAAAGCCCAACAGTGGGACTATTTAGAGCTGACGCATGAATGCGGCACTGTGGGGAGTGACAATCTGAAGGAGCCGCGGGGGGAGGGGGCCGGTGTTTGCCTTGGCCAGAGCCAGCCTGTTAAGAGGAGTCTGCCGAGAGGCAGCCAAAGCGACCCTTCAAAAATTAGGTTCCCTCTGGAGCTGCACACCTCTGTACAGCCCCCAATAATCCTCCTCAGAACCTCTGACGGCTGCCGTTTGCAGAGGGTGAAGCCCGACGTCCCGTCCTGGCATGTGCGCCCTTCCCAGTCGGCCCTGTCTCGGTCAGCCATTCCTCTGCCTCTCTCCTTTGCCTAGAAATCAGCAGTCGTGAGCCCTCAGTCCTGGTGCCCACCTGCTTCCAGTGACTGCAGGGTAGGCTGGGGTCCACCCGGTCCCCTCAGGGACCCCGGCTCTCACAGTCCCCGCCAGGACGGTGGCCTGCTGAGGGCTCACATCTGAGTCCCTCCCAGGAATTGCTGGCAGCCGTCCTACGGGATTGCATCGCCCAAAGTTGTCTCCCTCCTGGGGACGCCAAACCCAGTGACAGGGCAACAAGGGTGCGAGGCCTGGGCAGCTCCGCAGGGCCCTCTGGCCTCCCTGAGGCCCTGGGTGCAGCTATGCCACGCTCAGCTTCTCCCACTGGAAGGTCCCGTTGCCTTCACTCCCCAGCAGGCGTGTCCCCCGCCCCCAGAGCTCCCACACTCCGCAGTCTCAATTCCATTTCAGCATCTCCTTCTGGGGCACCTGACTGGCAGAAAGCTCTGGGGAAGGGGGGCCGAGGTGTGCTCAGGGCCAGAGCTGCCTGTGGCCCAGGGAATGGCATCGCTGGAGTCCACACGGTCCTCAGCATGTGCGTGGTGAGCTCCTCACACACAGGAGAGGGCTGGCTGAGTTGAGTAGTTGAATGCCAAGGGGGTTGGCTGGCTCTTCACGGGTGCACTGGCGAGAAATGATGAGAAGCTGAGATGAGCTAAGCACTAATTTAAGGCCGACGTGAAACTCAGAGCGCCTTCTTGGCAGCGTACAAGGAACTCCTTTCTTACAGCTGGTCCATCCGAAATTCAGGCCCAAGACCTAATTGTGCAGGTAGCAGAGCCCCAGAGATAGCTGGATTCTGAACCCCAGCAAGTCTGTTATGGCGAAGTCAGGCCTGGCTGGGAAGCAGTGGGGCCCTGAGACCCTGCAGGGACCCTGGTCACTGCAGTCAACCAAGAGTCTTAAAGACTCACAGCTCCTTAAATGCCTGGGCCTGAGGAAGTGGCCCCGCACCCTCTTGCCTGAAGATAATGCAGACATGACGTGTGTCCCTCACATCTCTATACCTGGGGCCAGGTGACAACCAGGGTGTGTCACCCCTAACCCAGCCAAGGACACGCTGGGCTCGCCCACCGAGGAGGAGAGACACTAGGGACTCGAGGATCTTTAGCGTCCATGTACAGCAGCAGGACACGGGAGAGTGTGACTGGGACAGACCCTGAGGGATCTGGGGGATGGACAGAGTTCATCAGGACAGGACAGCTCTCCGCCGTGCAGGAGTCGTGCCTCGGCCAGGCCGCAATGGTGGGGCTCACTTTGGGTGGGCTTTGGGGTGCTTGGAAAAAGCAGTGGCTGCACTGGGAACAGCGTCAGTGCCAAAGCTGCCCCAGGAAATGTTAGAGGAACAGGTTAAAGGCTCAAGGACAGGGACACATTGCATTAGAAACGGCACGTGGGCCAGGGAACCACCAGCCCGTGCGATTTAGGAACAGGCTGAGGGCTGCCTGTTAGTGACAAGGAGCCCACTGCCAGAGAGGCACGAGCGGCATCCACGGCCACGCTGCTGGGGCTAGCCTGGGCTCGGGTGGGGATCGTGTTACTGAGCTGGGTTTCCTGGCAGAGATGGCCGTGAGAGGGCCTCAGATGAAGATGGCTGCAATCGTCAGGGCGTCAGGCGTGGTCAGGCTGCAGCCAGGCTCGTAATGCACAGGCTACAACGGGGCTTCGTCAAAGGTGGGGCCCCTAGGCCCAGGTAGAGGGCAATAACCAGTAAAAATACTCCACCAGAGCGTTGCTCATTTTGTAAAATCAGCGGCAGACTGAAGATGGATGAGCGAGGCTGAAGGCAGCCACGCCGACAGCGCCCACGTGCCGTAGCCGGATTGCTGCCCTGTTCGGCTGTGTAGACCTGGAACACAATGCCTGGAGCAGAGGCTGGGTCTCCAGCAAACTGCCCTCAGCCCACAGCAGGCTAGATGGGAACTGTTTCCATCCATGCCCAAAGGGACCCTGGCGATTCACTCAGGAAACAGCTAAACATGGGAGAGGGGGCATCTGGACACTCCAGGCAGAGGGGCGCAGAGTTCAGGTTGACACTGAAACCAGGGTCCCGCCACATCATTGTAACGTCCCTGTTAGAGTGGAGTTCTGTGGGGGCCGGGAGTTGAGTGGGTCCTGGTTCAGGCCCAGCTCACTGGGCGCATGGGCTCACTCAGCCGCTTCCACAAACCTCGAATGGCCCGTTGGACCGAACGTCCTCGGTAGCTGCTGGGACTTTGCGTGGGTTTTTCAGCCTCTGAGGTAAGAAATGGTGGGCAGGGCAGGCTGAAGCTTGTCGGAGGCAGATACTGTAGTAAGGGAGTCTGAGTAGAAGCTCTGAAATGATTCCTTCTGCCTGCCTTGGCCGGATCAATACGTCATAACCAGCGTC